TTGTTGGTCAGATTTTATACTTTAAAAAATATATATAATTAAATGCAAAATAACAAAAAAACCTTTGCAATTTTCATGTAACATAAGTTAACAAAAACATAATTTTTGTTTTTTCCAAAATTAAGTTTAAAAAAATAAGTTTTTTAATAAAATATACGAAAGAATATTAAATGTTATGTTTTTACATTTAAACTTTTGAATAACAATGTTTAGTTTAAGCACATTTTTATTTTAAATTTGTGTAACATAAGTTAAAACTACATGCACATTTAATGTTTTGGCACTTTTTTGTTAACAAAAAGAATTACGTCATTAAGTAATTTTTATTTCGTCGCATTGCTTTGACAAGGTTTTAACTAAAACTTTTTATATTAGGAGAATTTAGAAAAAAAATCTTTAATTTTTTTTTTTGTTAATTAAAATTACTTTTTGTTTGTAAAATTGTTTTTTATTTGTTTATAACATGGTCCAAGGGAGGGCCAGAGGGCCTCTGAAAATTGTTTTTTTATTTGTTCATGTCTTATTTTGGATGATATATAAATATACATAAATAATTAAAAAAAAAGGGTTATTTTATAAATATTTTTATTTATACATTAATAAAAAAAAAAAATTTATTTGCTATTCTAATTTAAAAAAAATTCAGATAAAACCTTTTTTGTTTTTGCATTAGTAAAACAAATTGCTTGTAAATGCAATAAAGGGAGGGGAGGGGGTCATTCATAAAGCACGTCACCCTATATAATATTCATAAATGTAAAAATTATTATATACCCCCACTTTTTTTCCAAGGGACCTTTTTGTTATTTTTTAAAGAAAATTCTTGATATAGAGGACTTTTTTTAAAAGTTTAAAATTGTGTTTCCCTACTTCAAAACCTGTGTTGCCAGCCTTGAGTGTAAGTAAAAACATCAACAAACCAAAGATTTTCTTATACTCAAATAAGTATTAATAAAGTTGTAATACAAAAATAATTTTTTGTATTACAACTTTATTAATCTTGGTCTTGTGGAAAAACTGTTTTTGATTTGATAATTTTCATAAGTGTAATGAAAAATCACTCAGGAAGCCACCAGTTTTTTAAAATTTCCTTTGTTAATTATATTTAATGAATGAGTTCAATACTTTTGCAATTCTTTTGTTACGTAATTTTAACTCTTAATAATAGATATAAAAAATCCACAATGATAATCGCTTGGCGATGTAAGTGATGTAATGTAAGTTAAATGTATAGTATCAAAAAAAACAGTTTATTTTCCTTAGCCTCACCTCTAATAAATCTATATATATTTTTTAAATTATAATTCTCATATAATTCTCAACATCTTGTGAAAGTTTCTAATACAAACCATTTTACTGATTTGCAGAAATCTGACCTAAAAATTAAATCAATTTTTTACCTTGTTTTCCGTCTAACGCAAGTTAAGCATTTTCAGTAATAAGTTCCCCCACTTTTGACCAGACTTGAAACTTTTTAGCTTATTTTATTCTTTAGACTAACAGCTTTCATACGAAATAGTTAAAAGTTTAATTTACAGTTAAAATTGGCAAATACTTGATAAAGTTGATGCGTGTTTAATGTAAGTTAAAAATGGAATTGCCCATATATATATATATATATATATATATATATATATATATATATATATATATATATATATATATATATATATATATATATATATATATATATATATATATATATTTATATATATATATATATATGTATATATATATATATATATATATATATATATATATATATATATATATATATATATATATATATATATATATATATATATATATATATACAGTGTTGGATCAATTCACTTTTAAAATGAATTCAAATCAAATTCAACATGCTCAACAGCTGCTGATGAAGGCAACGATGTATTATATCTCACAAACGCGGCCTATACAGCTGGATACATCTGGAGGGATGATAGTGTCACAGTGACGTCGGACAGATAAGTCATTGCTTGGAGCCTCAGGCTGTTTGTGGTTATCTTCATCGTAGCCATAGTCGTTATCATCTGAAGGTTCAGTTAGTGACTTGTTTGCCTGTGCTGTGGTTAAGTTGTTTGGCGTGTTTATTCTGTTCAAAACATAATAAAACAAGTACAGTATAATACAAATAATAAATACAATAATAAATAAATAACATAATAATAATATAATATAATAAATTAAATAATACAAATAAAGCAGAGTAATGCAAGTCATATCAAAATACAAGTACTGTACAAATCATAATACAAGTGCTGTTGATGTGTTCATAGTAAATTAGAAAAATGACAAATATTAAAAACACTTTACGTATATGCAGAGAAATATGAGTGTACTGGCACTAACCTGCTAATGCCATCGACAAAGTACTGACTAAGTTCATCTCGTCTCTCTGGCGGCACCCATTTGAGTTTGTAAAGCGGGTGAGAGATTGCGGCCAGTACTGCATCGTTCACTAAAGGATCACAGGTGTTCTGCAAATCTAGTGCCAATAAATCCTTGAATCTCTTCTCGATCCCTCTAGGCTGAGCATTTGACAGTGGACTGCAAAACTGTAGACTGTCAGTAAGCATCCGCTTTAAACGGTTTCTTAGAATTAATTTTGGCAGCAGCATACCAAAGAAGCTGTTGAGATCTCCTTGCAGGCAATCCAATGTTGACGCTAGCGGCTCCATTGTCTGGAAGTATTCCTTTAAAAATTCAATGTCACATTTAATTAACTTAGGCAGATTTATTTCATCGAAAATCTGGGTCAGTTAGTTTGAAAGTTCCACAAGCCTCTGAACTGCTCTGTACATTGGATTCCATCTCGTTGGACACGGAATGAGGATAGTCACACCAGCTGTAATTTGCAATACAGTGTCTGATGCCTTTGAGCTGCGACATATCAAATTCCACAAAGCCTAACACTTTCCCATGGTCACGTGATAAATTCGACTGTACTGCTGGCTTCCAATTTTACCTGCTTCAACATCTGTTGTTGCCACCAGGTTCAAGCTGTGACAAGTACAGCATAAGTGTTTTGGCAAAAAAACACTTATGCTGTACTTGTCATCCTGCTTTACTGTCATCCTGCTTGCTTAAAATTTCAACAACATCTACTGTCGTCAGCTTATCACTCTCTATGTCATCATCTTCCTCATCATCACTGTCTTTACGAATCTGGAATGTGTCAAAAGCCTTCTTGAAATTGCTAGCATTATCAGTTACTGTACACACTACCTTTGTTGCATCAAGCTCAAACTGTTCATGAATCGCGCAAATGAGTTGAGCTACATTGTCAAAAGTGTGACTTCCAGTAATGCGGCGTAATGCTAATGCTCAGGACTGTCGCACATTTCCTTTCGAAATCCAATGGATTGTCATTCCCAAAAAACTTTTTCTATTTGATGACCAAATATCTGCAGTTGTGCACACAAACTGCACACCATCAAGATCCTGCATCAGCTTTCCCACCATTTCAGAATATGCATTTGCAATTCGTGTTTTTGATGTTGTTCTTGCCATTACAGTTCTGCCTGGTGCTAACCCTTGAACTAAGTTTGTAAAGGAGTCCATCTCAACTGTGTGCAAAGAACTCAGACTGTCAATAACATATTTCAAAACCAACTCATCTACTTCTTGTTGTGAAACTGTGTGAACCGAACCACTTGCTGAACCAAACTTCAATTCCTTTTGCACTGGCTGTGCTTCGGACAAGTCATCATCACCTTTTTGTTTGCCATTCACAACAACACTTTCTTTGTACTTTAAATATGCTTTCTCAACTGCTGAATGATTAGTCTAAAGCAATGAAAATTATGAAATGTACTCAAATGCAAAATGGTCATCATAATGACTTAATAATTCATTACAGCCTTCATTCTTGTGAACATGCACATGTAGGTCTAGATGAAAGGTTTTATATATATATATATATATATATATATATATATATATATATATATATATATATATATATATATATATATATATATATTAATCATTTACCGTTAACATTATATTTGAAAAAAATCTTAATTTCCTTATTAGTAAAAAAAAAAGAGTACAAATTCATCAGCCAGTACCAATCAACATTGGCCAAAACTAGGCATTGGAGCACCCTTAATTAAAAGTTATTTTGAAATATATAAGTTATTTATTACTTATAATTTAAATAAAGATTTTAATAAAACAATAAACATTGATCAAAAGTGATTTGTTATTTTATTTAAAAGAGTTTTGGGTATTATAAAGTTGTTGGAAAAATCAAAGTTTCCAAGTTATTCAATCATACTATAAATGTTTACAATAATTTCCTCTTAGACTTTGAGTTTTTTTCCAGTTAAGTTTAATTTTTATTGTTTTAAAATTTTAATTATTTTGATTTTTTTTTAATCTTTAGTTAACTGTTATTTTTATTTTATTATGTTTAGTTAAAGCCTAAATTTGTTCTGCCAATTTTTGAAACGCCTAATATTTCAAAACATGCAAAATACTGTAATGAAATTGTCTTCAGAAAATATTTTGTGTGTGGACAGATAAGGTACCCAACTGCACGCGAATCCTGTAACAGCCTGATATATATATATATATATATATATATATATATATATATATATATATATATATATATATATATATATATATATATATATATATATATATATACATATATATATATAAATATACATATATATATATATACATATATATATATATGCATATATATATATATATATAAATATATATATACATATATATATATATGTATATATATGTATATGTATATATATATATATATATATATATATATATATATATATATATATATATATATATATATATATATATATATATATATATATATATATATATATATACATGTATTAAAAAGAAATAATTTTTAATTATCAAATATTATTACAAAAATTTTTACAATAATTGTAAAACTGTAATATAACTATAAACTATATTAACTATAATAAAAAATATTAAAAATAATTTCATACCTGGTATTATCAGTTTTTGTTTGGTAGTGTTAAGATAAACCTTTCTAAGATTTGAACTGAAATACCCAATTTCATTATAGGTTCCTTTGTATATATAAAAAAATAGAAATATTATATACACATTTATACACAATAGAGACTAGTATCCTTATTAATGGTTTTTTCCTTAGCAACAACATTTTTTATTTACACCATGCAAAGTGTGTTCTTTTTAAATTAAAAGAGGTGCTATTTACACTTTTTTTACAATAAAAGTGGTGTATATACCAACTAGATAAAAATTATATATATATATATATACATATATATATATATATATATATATATATATATATATATATATATATATATATATATACATATATATATATATATATATATATATATATATATATATATATATTATATATATATATATATATATATATATATATATATATATATATATATATATATATATATATATATATATATATATATATATATATATATATATATATATATATATATATATATATATATATATATATATATATATATACTGCAATATATTTTTATTTCAAACAATTTTTTAAAAAATATTTCATTCAGAAGCTATTTACACAATTATGATATTAAACTCTTTTGTTCAAAGTTTAAATGCAACCAACATTTTATTCTCTCTTGTTCTATTCTTTAGGTCTTATTTAAAAATAATTTTTTTTAAGCAAACTAGCACCTAATGTAAACACTTACCTAATGTAATTAAAATAAAATGCTTCTAATGCAACAAAAGTGTTTACACTTTTGTTGCATTAGAAGCATTTTATTTTAATTACATTAGGTAAGTGTTTACATTAGTTGCTAGTTTGCTTAAAAAAAATTATTTTTAAATATTTTTTAGGCCTTTTACTAAAGATGAACTTTGGTCCTTAAGGTCCCTAAGTTAATCTTTATAGATTAACTTAAAAAACATGATTGTTTGATTAGTTACATATAAACAATTTTATATAGTTTAGTTTATATAAAGTAAGAAAATGGGTCTATGGGTGTGGTAATACTTTTAAGTTTTAACAAAAAAAATATCAACGAGTCGTTTAAGTCAATTTTTATAGTAACTCATTCCCAACATGGCTGCAAGCAACCACTATTAATTTGGGAGTTACTAGGAAACAAAGAATAATGTTAGAGAGCAAGAAAATGGCTGACAGAAGGCTTAAAAAGTTGTAGATTGTTTGATTCAGGAAAACATAAAAATGGGAAAGAGTTCCAAAACATTGATGTGCATAGAAAAAAACTAGACAAATAAAAATTTTTTGAGCATTAATGGACAGTAAAAGAATGCAACTTTGCTAAGTGACAAGACAAGCAAGAAGGAGTATTGGTTGATGAAACTCAAGATGATAGCTTACTTTAACAGCAATTATAATATAATTTGTAGAAAAAAGGAAAAGAATCAAACAATAATGAAACAGTGACTCATTGTTGGACCTGTTCTTGTTTGGCAGTTAAAGGTTGAACTTTATTTACAAGATATTTTTGGATCTTGCTAAGAAGAGAAAGAGTTATTGGAAGAAGATGATTAAGAAACTTCTAGAAGTAAAAAATAAAACTTAAAGCATGGTTACAGAAGAGAGATCTTAAATGGCTGATTTTTCTAAAGGATCAAACAGTAACAACTTTTTGTCAAAATAAGAGTATAAAATTGTATCATCAGGAAATAACTTGATTGTCGGGATCATTTATATGGATGAAAAACAATAAATAACCATAGATAGAAAGTTGTGCTACCACTCAGGTTAACTTTAATACTGAGGTTAGATTTAATAAGCTCAAAAATGTTTTTAGATACACTAAATGATGCAAGCTTATGAAGTAGACCAGCATGTCAGACTTTTTCGAAAATCTTTGATATGCCAAATACAATAACTTCACCTTAGCTCTTCCATCTAATGCACAATAGAACCTTTCAGTTACAGCAGTTAGCAAATCAGATGAAGAACAAAAAGATCATTGCTGATATACATTAATTTTATTTCTACTGATATTCAACTGTTTTATTTCTACTGATAAGAAACAGCTATTTCCTTATAGCATATGTTACAACAAACATAATAAACCTTGTTACAAAATGGTCAGGAGAATTTTCGATAACCTGATGCTTTCCTATGACATTGACTCTTGTTACCTCTAATTAATGCACAATATTTTTACCTTTCTATTATAAAAGTTAACAGATTAGCTGCATAGCAAGAGAATTGAAAATTGAAATTGAAATTGAAATTAAAAGTCATTAGACTCAAGATGAGATATTTTAATTTGATTATAGAAAATAATGATTAAAGACTAAGGACTTCTAACATAAGTTTACATCTATGCAAGCCTTATAGATGAAGAAGGGGTGCAAGATTGGTCAGCATAATTTTTCTGCTTACTTCTAAAGTCTTTATCTAGAAGGCTTTCGAAAGAATTTAAAGCCAATGTAATATTAAAGCTACTTGGTGAAACAAATTCCAAAACAATGAAAATAAATACAAAAAAATTTAAAGGAGAATGCAGAAATAAAAATACAATTTATAAATCATTATTATTTTTATTAGTTGCATGGGGTCAAATAAAACTTAAAAAAAGTGAATATTTGTTGTATTTGATAAGATCTACTTAGTTTTATTATTAACATATTCTAGAGGAAACCAAAATTTTAGATAAAACGAAGTTCATATAATAACAGTAGATGCAGATTGATAACTTTTTTATTTATTTTAATATCAATAAAATTAACAAAAGTAATTTATACCATTTGGACTAAATTGAATGTAAAGTATATCTCCAAATCTATCTCTTGAATTATTTCCCAAATAGCTGTATTGTCCTGAAACTCCTTGAAATTTGATTTTTTCCATCAAGTAAGCCAATTTCATAACAATACTTGCATTTCTTTCTAACAGCAAATCTATGCTAAAGTTGTCTAACTCTTTTTCAGCCGTATCTAACAAAATAGCTAATGCCCATAATCCATCATACGCATACATTGAAAGCTCATTATAGACAATTGATTTTGGTGGTACACGATATAAAGAGTTTACTTGCTCTTTAACAAGTTGCCATATTTCGTCTGCTGTCTTGAAATTAAAAAGAAACAAGTTTATATATAGTTATATATATACAAATGTATAATAATATTTGCTTTATTTAAAAATGTATAAAAAAAGTACAAAACATTTTAAACAAAGATTTTAACTAATTAATTATATGGTTTTTTTAAAAACAAAGCATTTTATTTTTTTATTTTTCTTATTTCACCAATTAAAAAGCTACTAATTTATTATTATAACAAATGCTTAAAAATGATTTAAACTTGCTATCAAAGACTTTCCATTTAAACTTATACACTTCTGAAAACTTTCAGAAGTGTATAAGTGAAAATTTATTTATGCTGGTTTAAAATAATTCTGGCTTTTTGCACTTATTAAAACTTCTAACTCATTTTTAATGTCCACTTCAGAAATGAATTTTTGACTTTATTTGCAAAAGAGTAACAATGTTACCTCAGATTAATTTTTAACATTTATCATACCAAAATAACTGTTAAAAATTAAAGTAATTGATCAGGAGATATTCTTCAATATCTTTCAAATAACAATTCAAGTATCTTTAAAACAACAATGCTTTTTAATAATAAATAAACCTCTAGATACAGGAAATATAATGCCATTTTTGAAGTATTTTATTACATTTGCAGTACTTGTAATTTGACTACTGTTGTAAATTGTTCCTTTAAATAAAATGTAAAATAAAAAAATTCATGTTTTTGAATAAATTTCACATAACAAAACTAATAATAAAGATATCTAAATAAATAAAACCAAGAAACAAAAAACAAAAACAAACAAAACAAATAAAACAAAACAAAACAAATAAAACAAACTTTCATTATAAAAATCTAATCTGTTGAATTAAAAAATGATCAACTTTTACATATATGATGCAAAAATGTTGTAGCTAGTTCATCAAAATATAAAGTGAGTCATGATCTTGCTTTTTGGTTTTCTACAGATCTACTACTAATTTCTCATGTTGATAATGTTTACTCTTGCATGTTTTGCCTTTAGAAAGTCATACAGGTGCAGGGCTGTCCTGAAGGAGGGGGGTGTAGGGTTGTCCCCCCCCAATCTGTCATACAAGCATTTGAGTTGGCACATTAAGCAAGTTTTGAACTGTAGTTGGTAAATTTAAAATATAGAGGACATTTTTTTTTTTGATTGTTGTCTCTAGTTGGCAAAAAATACATACAACACCATAGAAAACCTTTTTGGGACAGGATGTTATACAAGTCATTTAATTGTTCATCAAAGAAATATCAAGAATTATTCAAGAATTTTCAAGAGGCGTTGCAGAGATATGAGGTTACATACTGTGCACAATGATGAAGTAAATATGATAAAAACTTCTAGACTATTAGGCTCAAAGGATCCACAACAGTTGTCTGGCTCATATCTTGTATTTAATATTGACATATGATGGCACAAGTAATTGTAAGAAAATATTTTTAAATATTTTATTTTAATTAATATTTAAATATTTAATTACTATTTAAATATTTAATAAATATTTAAACAAAAAAAAATGGTTTGTTAGAAAAATACAGAAGAATTGAACATGCTTGAGCTTCAAGTCAGCTTTACTTTTAGAGGAATCACATTGTAAAGCAGATATAAAATTGTACAGCAACCTTCAAATTCTTGCTGAAGTGAAAGATATTGACAATTTAGAACAGCAATTTTCAATTCAAATTTATGATAATTCAAACATAATTGAAGAAAAAAAATGATTTTTTAAAAAATACTTGTGTCAAGTTGTACCTAATTAGCTTTTCTATTTTATTATAGCTGGAACACCTATATTTAGATTTATCAAAATGTTGTGAAAATATTTTTAACTCTTGATTATAAAATGGCCAGAACACCTAAAATAACTTTTTGTAAATTGAACAATGAATTATGTGAAAAAATAAAAGTGTATAACTTAATTTAAATTATTATATCTTTAACAAAAAAATGTTACATAAACTTAATTTACATTATTATATCTTTAACAAAAAAAAGTACATAAACTTAATTTACATTATTATATCTTTAACAAAAAAAAGTAAATAAACTTAATTTACATTATTATATCTTTAACAAAAAAAAAGTACATAAACTTAATTTACATTATTATATCTTTAACAAAAAAAACTTATTTATAATTTAAAAATAAATGTTTTAAATATAAATCTTTTTTACAGCAAAAACAAAATAATCACAATTTTGGGGAGACAAATGCACTATTTTCTGCCAAAAAGCATTTTGTGTAGGTTCATAGTCTGCCATCTTGAAAAATGATTTATTATAAAATTGGAGTCAAAAAAAAAAAAGCATTTAGGTCATGATATATATTGTTTGCTAATTATATTACATACCTGAAAGGAAAAGAAAAAAAATGAAAAAAGCTTTCTTAAAGTCATACTTTATCAGCAATTGTGATAACACCATCTTTTCTTAAGGGGTGAAATTTTAAGTATATGAATCCTTTACTAGCGATAATAAGTTGATCAGATGTACAATTTATGTTGCGAAGATTTTTTGAACTGTACCAATCACTAAATACATCTTCAAAGAAAACAATCCATTGATATTTTGGACCTGTCATATTTTGACTGTAAGCCTAAAAAGAGATGATAAATGACGAAGAATGTTTATCAAAATATTAAAAACAAAATTATTTTGCTTAAATATATACTATATACTATATATATATATATATATATATATATATATATATATATATATATATATATATATATATATATATATATATATATATATATATATATATATATATATATATATATATATACATTATATATACATATATACATATATATATATACATATATGTATATATATATATATATATATATATATATATATATATATATATATATATATATATATATATATATATAAATATATATATATATATATATATATATATATATATATATATACTATATAATAAATATATAATATATATATATATATATATATAATATATATATATACTATTTATGTATATACTATATAATATATATACTATATAACAATATATATAATATATACTATATATATATATTTACTAAATATATTATTTAATATAATCTTCAAAGTCGTTGAAAAAATGTGAAACTTCATACTTGACAAAAAATGTACTTTAGACTTGCTGCTTTTGCTCCTAACATAATGATTCGAATATCTAATGCCTAAAGAAGTTATACTTGCATAAATTTTATTCACAGGCAATACTTGTTGTTACTAAGGTTACATAAAAAGAGTAAATAAAGAAGTATGCAACAATTTTAAATGTTTCAAAAATAAAAGTAAAAAAGTAAAAAAAAAAAAAAAGAATCTTTAAAAATGAAATTTAAATTTAAATTAAAATAGTTACTTTAGCTGTTTAATTATTATATTTTGTTTGTTTATTTGCTTAACTAATGTAAACTAAGTGGTCTTTATAACCATTTGCAATCAAAAATTAAATGCAATCAAAAATTAAATGATTTACAATTAATACCTATTTTAATATTATAAATTCCACTTTCTTTTTAGGAATATATATATATATATATATATATATATATATATATATATATATATATATATATATATATATATATATATGTATATAAAGTATAGTTCTTGCAAATTTAAATGTACAAAATTTATACTACCTTAAAAAAATAGTATTTTCTTTTAAACATTAAAGTATGTAAGTTATTAACAAATTAAGGAGTATTCAAAAATGAATATATATATAAATATATATATAAATATATATAAATATATATATAAATATATATAAATATATATATAAATATATATATATATATATATATATATATATATATATATATATATATATATATATATATATATATATATATATATATATATATATATATATTAGGGTAGGTCATCAATGTACATTTTTTGTGTAAATGACTTTAGATAGCAATATAATGTAGCCATATCATCTAAAAAACATTTTTAAAAAAATCAAAATTTATTTTTACTTTCTTTCCTGCCATCTAATCAAAAATAGGCTGTTTTTGTTATTGCTATGTAAAATTACTCCCTTAATACAAGGGATGAGAGGGGGGGGGGGGGGAGAGGAGACTAAAAGAGTGGATGGGAATTTTATTCCAGATCTAATAAACAAGGAGAGGGCGAGAGGTGGAATAAAAGGAGGGGGGATTTACACTGAAATTTTATTATCACTTATTAGTATATATCTTTTAAGTTTTAAGGTCGATTTTCACTGAATTTTTTTTTTAGTTTCAAGATATAAATTTTTTGTTGATAACAAGTAAAAAATTAATAAATTGGGGGGGAGAGGTCTTAATAAACTTAGAGTGTGTGGGAAAATTTCCTAAAAATTAATAAAAGTCTCCTCCCTTCTCCTTCTGTTAAGGACTCGAGAGTATGAAAGTAGGCCATTATTTAAAAACATGTACTATACTATATATATTATTTATTTTCTAAATGTAAATAAACTTTAATAAACACAATTTTCAAACAGAATTCTAGAAATAGATTTAAATTTAGTAAACTATATATAAGTTGTTTTGAAAATTTCGTTTATTTTATAATAATAATTTACAAAGCTTCTTAAGTCTTCTTTTGAAGCAAACAATTAAAATAATTTAAAAACAACGCTGGTTAAAACCATTACAAAAAAAAATACAACAAAATAATTTATAACTTGGATCTTTTCTTTGTTACATACATGATGGTTTGAAACCACTTTATAATTACTAAGTAGTTTTAAAGTGTTTTATAACGCCATATGTTTTTACATTCAGTAAGCTATTGTTTACAGAATGAAAAGTCCAAAAATGGTTTCTAAGAAGTTATGATAAAAGAATTATTTTTAAGGCTTTTATGGGTATTTTTTGTATCTTTTACTTTTAATTTATGCTTAGCTAATTTGGTATCCAAAATCTCAAATGAGTTACAATTTGACAGGTTTTTTAATTAAGGAATGTAATTAAATGTTTATATATAATAGTATTTTTTATCAGACCTATGAGTTCATTAATTCTTTAATGAATCATTAGTTCTATTATATAGTTTAATAGAGGAATAGATTAATAAAGGAAAAAATCATTAGTTGTTGAATTACTGAAAGTTTCTCCAATATAACTTAAATTTACTTAATATACTCAAAGTCTCGCAAAAGTTAGCCATACAAATGTTTCTGTTTATATTCTTTATGTTGTTAACTCATTATATAAACTTCTAAAACTATTTTAACAAAAAACCTCGAATAGAATATGGAAAATGCAATACCATTTTTTTTTTTTTTTCATTTTATTTAAAGTGATATTTTTTAAAAAGGAAATCTATTTGAACAAAAGAATTTTTAAATTAATTATTTAATAATAAAATTATTAAAATAATTTTTCTTTAATTCTGAATATAAAGCACAAGAGTTTTTGAATCATTTTTGAATCAACGACATCAAAATTTAAAATTTACATTGGAAAAAGAACAAGTAAAGCAGATTGCCTTTTAGATGTACATATTGAAAAGTCCAATTCCTTTTCAACATCAGTTTATCATAAAAAAACTTATACAGGTCTGTTTCAAAACTTTTTTATTTTTGTTCCCTCTTGCTATAAATATGGTCAAATGTTTGATTGATCAAACATATAAAATTAATACTTGGCTAAAAATTGATGGAGACATAAATAATCTTTCCTTTGTTTTACAGAATAATCAATTTCTGCAAAAAGCTCTTGAATATTGACAATAAAATGAACCCATCTATTTCTACCTGTGTTAAAAACTCAAATATTAGATACTTCAAACATTTATTAATTGAAATTCACTGTAATACTAAAGGATCAAATCATTATATTTCAACCAATGGCCTGTGGGGCACCATCTCAGATTTTGCTGATTTTTACATATCATTATCTACATTATGTAGATAGGTTAAGTTTGAAATTTCAGACTTCCAAGTGCAATGGTTCAGAAAATATAGCTTCATAAACAATGCGCAGTATTCCCCCTCAATTTAAGAATTGTAAAAACAGACTACTTTAATGCCTCACAACTTTTTTCTATCTTTCAACAAGTGGCTCATTTTTTCTAGAAGTGTTTTCAAGGTAGTTCTGTGTTAAAAATACTGGTTTTTGCTAACTTGTACCATATTAGAAAAAATTTATAGCCTCCTCAACTTTGAAAAAAAATTGAAAAATGCTAAAAAAGGCCGAAATAAAGTTAACTGTAGTAGTTTTCTATTCATCAACAAGTCCTTACAGTTTAGTTTTCTGATTAGCTACTATTATCTGCAACAAATAGACAAAAAATAAGCCGCTTGTTGCAGTTTAGAACTGAAATATATCTAAAAATGTATTGTCCATTCACCAAAAAAGTCACATTTTCAGCCATTTTAAAATGCTCATAATTTTTTCTAACACTTTGTATTGATCTACGCTTAACAGCAATTAAGACCATAAGTGTGCAACATAAGACCATAATGGTCTTATGTTGCACACTATTGCAATAGCAAATAAGACCATAATGGGTGCAACTTATTATAAGTTGTTTCTTAAAAAAATAAAAGATATGGTTGATTGCCCCCATGCTGATCTGGTTTTTAACCTTGGTAGGGGCACAAATAAAGAGCAATAACCAACTAAAACTCTATAATATTGGTAAATAGTGATACTTTAAACATAATTAACACAATTAAGGAATGTTATATCTCAAAGTCAAAGACCTGTGTTGTTTTACATAATTAATGTTGAACAATTTTTCATAAGAATTTCATAATTTATCAAGGCGATATTCATGACACATCAGGGAGCTTAAAAATATATTAAAATATAACTTCTATAATAAAAATAAATAATGATTAATAAAGGAAAAACTCGAAACTTGTTAGAAACCACTTAACTAAATTAGTTTGGTTTTCACTTTTTAATTGATAATTAGTTGCTAATGTTCTAAACAATTAATACAGTATAATTTATTTAATCTTTTTTTTTTTATTAAATAGGAGTAAAATCCTCTTGGGTTTTACTCCTATTTAATAACTAACTGGATACAAATGAGTACTCCTATTTACTAACTAACTGGATACAAATGAGTACTCCTATTTACTAACTAACTGGATACAAATGAGTACTCCTATTTACTAACTAACTGGATACAAATGAGTATCTGGTGTTTTTGGATATTTGAAATAATTGCCAGCTTTATGTAAACAGCTTACAGATATATAGTTGCCTTTAACATCTATTACCTTTTCACAGAAAAATTCACTAAAATAATATACTAATAACCAATCAGCAATATTGATGTCAACATTTACTGACTTTTGAGTATTAATGCAAGTATCATCCAGCATGTGAAATATGTAACATCAATGTGCACAACATGTTAAATGTTGCGCATATCGGGTTCCTATAATAGCAGGAAAATGCTCAAATTATTTAGCAAGTACTTTATGAGTGTAACAGCTGTTTTGAAATATAGAGAAATCTAAAAATAAATTTTAATATAAATCTTACAATCCAAGAATATAATTTATAAAATACATTTAGTAAACTCTTGCTTTAAAGTACCATTTTCTCTAAAATTTTACTTATAAAAAACGTTTATAGCAAAAAGTTCAATGTTTGTTTTATAGGATTGACTTTTTATAACTAAAAATAACATAAGCTATTTTCTTTATTTCAATTAAAAGTCCATAACAATATAGGATACAAGACATCGATTATTTGAAAAAATTTAGAAAATTCACGTGCACTTAGACAAGAAAGTGCAATAACCGACGTTTTTAAATTATTTTTTTTTTGCAACTAAAAGCATGTCCTTTGGTGTTAAAATTTAATTTCCAATTGGCGTTTGGAGGGACAGGTTATTAAGTACTCTTTTCACTGTACCACCTACTCAATCACATGCACTTTTTCTACGTACAGTGCAAAAAAAATGCCAATCTGCTTTCAGCCCATAGTCTTTTTCATGAAAACCAAGGTTTTTCAAATTAAATCTATAATACATTAAGAAAAATTATATTCATAAAAAAATAAATTTGATAAAAAATTAATATCATATTTATTCTATAACAAATTTGAAAAATATCATTCAAATAACTGAATACGGTTTGTTTAAAGAATCAGAATACTTTGAATGATATTAATTAAAAAATTAACCTACCTATTTTTAAACTAGCTGCCTGCAACATCAGTGAAATAATGAATCTTATGAACTTCTGATATTCTTTAAGAATAAATACGATTTTTGAAACAACTGAAGCCTGCCTCAGTATTGTGAATTAGAATGTCAATAACATTTGCTTTCTAGGGTCAGTTTTCCATTCAAAGATCTTATATATTCAACGAATGAATAAAGAGTTGCCTGATTTTTAGAAAAATATAATGCCTGAACTTAATCCTGTATGACAAATGATACGCTTTCAGGTTGTTTTTTTAACTGCTTTAAAAAGTATGTCTGAAATTTGCTGACATAATGATGTTTTGTGAGTTTGTGAATATAAGTTATTCGTTAACTTTTCAAGTCAATTATCAAGGCTTTAAACTATTGTTTCTAAGGAGTATTTATCAGTTTTCAACCATTGCTCATAAGTTATTTCATTTGCTGAATTGTCAACCAGATCATTTAACTTTTTTTTAATTCTTTCTTTTCCAGGACACTTTTTACACTCGTGAAACACCAATTCTTTATTTTCTAATGAGCATACAGCTAAGGCCATCAGTTCTTTTAACTTTAAATCATTTTTGAATACTTTTACTATTAGATTTGGATTTTGATGGTGGATACAAACAGAGACGGTTTGGGTGATAGATTTTCCAGCACAGTACACAGTGTTTTGGCCTTAATAGAGCAAATGATGTTAATCCTGCCTTAACTATATCATTAGACTTTGATTCTTCTATCCATTTTTTTTTTTTTTTGTATGTATTTAGGTGCTCCCAGAAGTCCTGACGGTCTTATCATAGAGCACCGCGGGAGAGCATTTAACAGGAAGTTCACGCCTCCTTCCGTACCAATGTGATAGATGAAATATCCAAAAACACCAGATACTCATTTGTATCCAGTTAGTTAGTAAATAGGAGTACTCATTTGTATCCAGTTAGTTAGTAAATAGGAGTACTCATTTGTATCCAGTTAGTTAGTAAATAGGAGTACTCATTTGTATCCAGTTAGTTAGTAAATAGGAGTACTCATTTGTATCCAGTTAGTTAGTAAATAGGAGTACTCATTTGTATCCAGTTAGTTAGTAAATAGGAGTACTCATTTGTATCCAGTTAGTTATTAAATAGGAGTAAAACCCAAGAGGGTTTTACTCCTATTTAATAAAAAAAAAAAAAAATTAAATAAATTATACTGTATTAATTGTTTAGAACATTAGCAACAAATTATCAATTAAAAAGTGAAAACCAAACTTAATAAGTTAAGTGGTTTCTAACAGTTGCACCCATTGAATATGCTGTTAGGCAGGTTGAGGGGCGCTGGTTTCCAATAATGCGCTCAACCCTCAATAATTGAAAAATAGGGTTATTTTAAAATGCTGCCATTTTAGTTTTGAATGCAACAAGTAAATTTTTGCATTTTCAGATATTTGGACCTTATGGTCTTAATTGCTGTTAAGCGTAGATCAATACAAAGTGTTAGAAAAAATTATGAGCATTTCAAAATGGCTGAAAATGTGACTTTTTTGGCGAATGGACAATACATTTTTAGATATATTTCAGTTCTAAACTTCAACAAGCGGCTTATTTTTTGTCTATTTGTTGCAGATAATAGTAGCTAATCAGAAAACTAAACTGTAAGGACTTGTTGATGAATAGAAAACTACTACAGTTAACTTCATTTCGGCCTTTTTTAGCATTTTTCAATTTTTTTTCAAAGTTGAGGAGGCTATAAATTTTTTCTAATATGGTACAAGTTAGCAAAAACCAGTATTTTTAACACAGAACTACCCTGAAAACACTTCTAGAAAAAATGAGCCACTTGTTGAAAGATAGAAAAAAGTTGTGAGGCATTAAAGTAGTCTGTTTTTACAATTCTTAAATCGAAGGGGACTACTGCGCATTGTTTATGAAGCTATATTTTCTGAACCGTTGCACTTGGAAGTCTGAAATTTCAAACTTAACCTATCTACATAATGTAGATAATGATATGTAAAAATCAGCAAAATCTGAGATGGTGCCCCACAGGCCATTGGTTGAAATATAATGATTTGATCCTAAAATGAAAATTAAAAAAATTGTTAAAAAATATTGCAAAGATGTTTCCAATAAAATTAATATTTACTAATAAAATACAAAATAATTTTTGTTTAAAAGATCTACTTCCTAAGCTGCTAAAATCTCATGTTTTTTACAAATTTTCGTGCGCTAGCTGTAATGCCAGTTCTTTTGGAGAAATTTCCAAACATTTAACAACTAAAATTTTTAAGCACCTTAGGATTAACAAAAAGTCCCATATATATAAACATTTAATTAAATACCATAATTGTAAAAACCTGTCAAATTTAAACTCATTTGAGACTTTGGATACAAATTTAACTAAACATAAATGAGAAGTAAAAGAAGCGCTTCACATTGAATGGAAGAATCCTTCACTTAACAAACAAATTTTTTGTTATAATAAACTATTATACAACAAACTTTTGTTATATAACAAACAATAAACTATCTATTTGATTAAAATGACAGTTTCATTTTGATTATATTGATTGGTTATTTACTGATTAATTTTGTAATTATTTTATTTTTTTATTACGTATATTTTTTGTCAGTTCATAATTCTCAGAAAAGTCTTCTGTTTTTTAATAACTATTTCAAAGTTTTTTTATTGTAGAAATTTTTGAAAAGGTAATGCAAAATTACAAAAGATGTCAAGATTAAAAAATATTATGTTATTTTAAAATATATATATATATGGAATTAGGAAAAATAAGGTCAACAATAATTTGCCGAGGGTTGTATCTATATACATATTCATATATATATATATATATATATATATATATATATATATATATATATATATATATATATATATATATATATATATATATACACACACACACACTTACTAAAGCGTATTTTTATAAGCATTTGCTCACTTTTTTTGCTTACCTTAACCCATACAGTTTTTTTAGAAAAAGAAGAAAAAAAACGAAGATTAATGAATGAAACGATTGCTGCCCCATCCCAAACCCTCAGTCAATGTAGCAGCACTCCACTGCGAGTCAGGCTATTTGTCAGTCGATGTATGTACTGAAGCCCCCAGCAGCAGGCAATTTCAGTATGACGTCAGATTGCTTACCTTTGTACGCAATACTATTTGTATATATATATATATATATATATATATATATATATATATATATATATATATATATATATATATATATATATATATATATACATATATATATATATACATATACTATATGTATATATACTATATTGAAATGCCATACCTTAAATAATTTTATTTTCTCTCTTATGATGTTATAAGATGGTGATAAATGAGAACTTGCAAATGATTCAAAAGTAACATTAATACTATTAGTAATCATGAGTTGATATAGTTCTTGAGATGTCTATAAAAATAAAAATTAAATTTAACTCTCTAAAAATTGAATTCTACATTAATATTTCTATATACATATATCCTAACTTAATTTGGTTTTATTGTAACAGATACCTAATGGTATTCTTAACAGATTAATAATTGAAATAGTAATAAAAAAATGTAACAGTTAAAATGTGTAAATAAATAAATTTTATAGTAGAAAATTAGTGGTTATGAAAATAAACTATAGGTAAATAAAGCACAAACTACATTGTTTTGTCAAAATGGTAATTAATTATTTGATAAATCATAGTTTATTGATTAGACTTGTGAAAAATTAAAGAAATAGATATTTTAAATGCTATCTATATTCTTGATATTATTTTATGTATTTGATTTAGCAACAGCAAAAAGAGTATAAAAAATATCACTTTTTAAAAAAATAATTATATTTTTTCTTTTCATTTGATTACCATTCGATGTGTAAAATAAATTAAATACCTGAAAAATAACCTGATCTTCTAAGTCATAAAGAATAGCTGTTCTTTTCCAACCATTGTATTTGAATAAACTTATTTGTGCTAAGTTAATAGACATTCTATCAGGATTACTTCTAAATAATGTAGGAAATTGATATTTATCTCCTAGCATCGGATCATTGGCAGAAAAAGATATCTAAGAGCAAAAATGATTAATGAATTTTTCTTTTTTTTTAATTAACAAATAATTTTTTTTATTTAATGTGTTTGATGTACCAGTGTGTAATTTAATGTGTACTAAGTAGAAAAACAAACTAATAGTACATGAAATAAGTTTGAGCCATATTTTTACTTGCATCTATGATTTAAAATAAACAAAATTGTGTTTAGATGTGTGAATTGTACACTTTCTTTTTAAATGATTAAAATACAATATATATTAGCATAAAAATTGACTAATAAAATTGCTGAAAAATTTCAATGTAGATTTTGCTTTTAACCTAGGTAAAAAAGGTAAACATACGTTCTGTCTCAGGATCAAACAACAATAAAACTTTATCTATTAGGTTGGCGTAGATGTATTTATAATAAATTGTTTCAAGTTTAGGATGTTGAATGCTACATCTTCTTGAATCAATGCATGGGTTTTGCTTATGTCTCTGTTACTAGCCAATTTATTCTATCACCTCCTAATGAGAGTATAGCTCTTAAACTTCAGAGTTCTGAGGCCAGCTGGTAGTCAGGTTTCCTGGGCTCTGTGGTGGCTCTCAGAGGGGCTGATTCCATCAAAAGCTGTAAGTATCAGAGTACTAAAAGTACCATGTTGCGCACGGATGGTATTCTTGTTCATACTTTTGGTGTGCATTGTCAAGGCCACATTCGGAGCCCTTTTTTTAAGGCTTAGTGTTTATTAATATTAATGAGGCTATTGCTTGGACTACTAAGTAGTATACTGATTACTATCTGAGTCAAGTTCTTTAAGAAATCTTAAAAATGATTAAATTATTAAAACAATATTTAGCTGAGCTTTTTAAAAATTTTTTTTTTTTTTAAAAAAAAGCTCAGCTGCCTCATCTTGTGATCTTAGTGTTGAGGTTATCTTCCCTAAATTCATAAAAACAAAGTCACATGCTTGGTCTGGGCATTTATAATTATAAAAATTCATCTGTCAGGAAACTAGGTTTTAAACAAAAGTACATAAAATTCTTTTATGTACTTTTGTTTAGCACCAGTTCAATCTATCGTCTTTCTCTTTGTTCTATATCTATACCTTTATCTTAAGACTGCACTCTTTTTGATATTATTTCTGATATAATTGACCAAGCCCTTTTTCTTTCTCCATCCGCCAATATCGTTGTCGTCAGTGACTTTAACGCTCATCACACTGAATGGCTTGGCTCTAGTGTTAGTAACTCTGCAAGTGCAAAAGTTTTGGCTTTTACCTTTCTCAATCTCTAACTCAAATAGTCAACTTTCCAACTTGCTTTCCAGACAACCCGAATTATTTACCTTTTCTACTCGACTTATGTCTTATTTCTGATGCTCAGTTTCTTCACATTTACCCTTAGGTGCTTCTGATCATAGTTTGATCTCTCTAAAAAATATTATCTCATCATTCTTTATCATCAAAATCTATCTATTATTGTGCCTCTTGCAACTACCTTAAAGCTGACTGAGATTCTTTCTGTGATTTTCTTTGCGATGGCTAGAAATTTTTTGTCTTCCTGCTGTCAAATGTGCTTCTTAGATAACTTCTTGGATTCAGGCTGGTATGGAGTCTTTTATTCCCTCTCGACAATTACAAGTCTAGCCTCATTCTTCTCCATGGTTTTCTTTTCATTGTCCTGCTGCAATTTTTAATCGAAACCATTACTTTCATATTTATCACCAAAGCAATTCTCCAAATTCAAAGCAATTCTTTTATAAAAAGAAGTTTTTATAAAAAGAAGTTTTTTTTACAAGGACATTACATTTTTTTCAGTTTTTTCATTATTTTAAATTTTGATCTTTTTGTTTTTATTTTCATTACTCTTAAAATTTAATAATTATCATACATTATAATAATTATCATACATTATAATAATTATCATACATTATAATAATTATCATACATTATAATAATTATTCTATTCATTTAATAACATTTCATATATAAATATTTAATTAGTATTGACTATTGAATAAGAAGTTGGATATAAAGATCTCTCTCAAATTATATAATAATATATAAAAATATATAATATATAATATAAAAATAATATATAAAAAAAGTTATACAAAAATTATATATGAAAAAATTTATGAAACTTTAATTACATAAGAATGATTCTTATGAATTCATAAGAATTTTTTTTAATTTTAATTTTATATGATACATATGACTTCAATTACATATGATTTTAATTATATATAATACATATGATAATTAGATATGATACATATATAATTTTAATTATATATGATAAAATTATATATAAAATTTTCATATAAAATTATATATGACACATATAAATCTTGTAAGTTATGAGATAAACTTTGTTATATTTTAACAAAACCAGCTGAAGACAGTTTTGTTTCTAATAAAATGAGCTTTTAGTTTCCCGCTATTTTAAATATTAGATTGTATTTTGAGGACAGTTATATTTTGACATATTATTTGAATATTAGGTTACATTTAAAGTTGTCAGTTATATTTAAAATAGGTTATATATTTCAGATATTAGGTTACTCTTTGAGGAAAACATCTTTTCTGATAAAATGAGCTTTTAGTTTCCTGCTACTTTAAATAATTTTGGTTATATTTTTTCACGTCAGGTTTTAACTTTGTTTAACTATTTTCTAAAGAATACTTTCAAAATCATGTATCAAAAAGAAATTAATTTAGAAATAAAACAATTAACAATTATAAAAAAAAAAAAGAGCGAATTACTTAATGATTAACATAAATGCACAAGAAATAGTTTTGTTACATAAAGTTGTGATTGATCGCATTATTCCAAAATGGTGGAGAAAAAATAATTAATATCAAAATAATGATGAAACTTTTACTAATAAAATTTCTGCTTACTAAAAACAGATGTTATTCATTAGAGCAAAACTTTGAATATGGTCTTCTATTAACAATGTGCTCCACAACAAACAGATAAAAGATAGTACAACTTGGAGCTGAAGTCAAACAACTTATTAAAAAAAAAATATATTTTTAATAACTTAGCATAGTTTTAATAAGTTCATTAGTTTTTTTGAAGGGAGGTTGGAAGGAATATAAACAAAAGTTTTTAAAAAAGTAGTTTATGATAATTAAATGCATTTACAGTGTCCAAATAAATAACTGTATAAAATTTACTTTTTTTGCCATAATTTAGCAGGTTCATCTGAATCAGTTTTAACTTATTTTTATAATATTTTTATAATATATATATATATATATATATATATATATATATATATATATATATATATATATATATATATATATATATATATATATATATATATATATATATATATATATATATATATATATTATTTTTATAATATTTTTATAATCAATAAAATAAAAGATCACAAGTGTAAAAAATACACTTAAAAATGAAAATTAAAATTATTATCTAAAAAAATAAAGCTAAGAAAAAAAAAAGCTACTTTCATTTATTTTTATTTATTTTTACTTAATACAACAGGCTACTTATGCTATATCTATGAATGCTAATGGTTTATTTTTCCAAAATAGCTTTTATAATTTATAGATAAAATAAAGTTTTTTTTTTACTAACTGAAATGTTTTTTTTTTATTTATCACCATTCTTGTATTGTTTTAAGGATTCATTTAGTTACCAGTTCTTCTATTGTTGTTATTTACTTTTAAAGATTTTCTTGATTATTGAGGTGTTATGTTGACGCCTTCATTCATGTAATGATTGATCCTAGCTTAAAAACATTAATAAGTTGGTATTACATGAGAGTTTTTGGATGCATGTGTAATTATTGTTTTGCATTATTTCTGAATTACAACCACTGTAGGGTAATTTTAGGCTACAGTGGTCTGTATAATAAACAAACAACAACTGAGTTTATTTTTTGCCTAATGTAAAATGTTGATGCAAAATAACTCCTAATAAGTTCGCTGATTTTTTGATCTGATAATTACATCATCTAAAATATAATTAGTTATATTTTGCTTGTGTTTATTATCAATTTAAGTTCCTCACAAAAAATTCTTAGTTTTATCGAAAGCAATGGTTTGTGTTCCTGCTAACTGTAAAATCTTTTCTTTTTCCGTATTAGCTATATCATTTACAAATTGAATTTTCTAAAAAATTTTTATAAAGATATAGAAACTTTTTAATTTTTCTAAAAAGATATAAAAAATTTATTGTTGCGCATGAAAATTAAAAGTTTCATAAATAATGAAACTTTTAATTTTCATGCGCAACAATAACAAACAATAACTTTTAGAATTTTCTGTTTATGAAGAACTAATTTATGTATTAAAACTATTTTTATTTTTTTATTTTTTTTTGTAATTCACTATCCCAAAGCCAAAAAAGCCACTACAGATGAGGAGGCTACTTAAACTCAACTCTATAACTCCAAAACACGAACCTTGACAAACAAGGCCACTGCGCTGAGAAACAAGTTGAGCGTGGTACTACCAGGGACATGGTGGGAATCGAACTTGGAACCTCTCGCTTATGATGCAAGCGCTCTATCACTACACCACTACCACATTTAACTTTACAGAAAAATGTAAAGTAAACATCAGCATTCAGCATCAGTAAACTACTATTTACCAGATAATTTTTTTGTTTTATTTTTTGTCTAGTAATAATATGAAAATTTGTGACATTTACAAACTTATATGAAAAAATAAACTAATTTCAAATGGTATGACATTATTTTCATCAATATTAACTCTTCTAGTATATAAGAAAAATGTATATTGTAAAAAGTGGATAGCTTCAAACAATGATACCATTTTGAATAAAGTAATGAATCTAAAAATCTTCCAAGTACTATGATTTAAAAATTATAGCCTTATGACTTTAGAGCCCTATAACGTTTTTCTCATTCTTTTTTAACTGTTTTCTGGATAGTTCTCTTTTTAAAAAAGTGGTATTTTTTCTCCTTAACTTATGAAAAAATCTAAAAATTGCTAAAATATGCTAAATTAAGTTAACTGTACTATTTTTCTACTTGTCAACAAGTCTATACAGCTAAGTTTTCTGATTAGCTACTACTACTTGCAATAAATAGGCTAAATATAAAAATCAAATATATCTAAAAGTATATTCGCTAAAAAAGCTAGATTTTGAGATGCTTGTAAATTTTTATAACACTTTGTTTTGATTTAAGATTAACAGCATATAAAACTATTAGATCCAACTATCTAGAAATGCAAACATTATAAACACGAGTACGTATTTTGATGTTTTCAACACTCATTCATAATTTCATGGAAAGTGATAACTTAAAAGTTTAAGAACAAACTTATTCTAATGAAAGGTCAGATACAATAACACTGTTATTGTATCTGACTGTTACTTGACTTTTCGTTTGAAAAGGTTTGCAACTCTTGAACTTTAACAGAGGAATAAAAATGTAATGTTTCAATAAACTTATTTACAGCTATATATTTACAGCTTTTATAATTAATTCCTTTTAGTAATAAGAGAGAGACATGAAATAAATGTATCATAAAACTAAAATATTGTTTGCAAAAATAGAAGTTGGTTGACCTGCGCACGTAACTAACAGTACAGCCAATCGCTGATGTCTTTTTAACAGAACCTTTAGCATTAAACAATTAAAAATATTTTTGTTCTACACAAAGTAAGAAATAAAAAACTTAAATATTTTTGCAATTCTGCAGGGGTAACATAAATCAACATAATATTATTTTAATTGTTGAAAAAAGCAATAACGTTGTTATTGCTTTTTTCAACAATTAAAATAATATTTTATCAGATTTTCACAAAAAAAATTGAATTAAAGTTGAAGGAGTCTAATCATATTTGATTTTTTTATTGGAAGAAATTTTATTGGAATGTGTGTAGTATAGTTTTATAAAAAACTATTCAACACACATTCGATCCCGAATAAATACTGTTTGAACACGGGGAAACATTTTTGCTTAAAAAATAACTTATGAAACTTGAAAAATTTATAACTGAAGTGTAAAATATTTCAGAATACTTGAAAATACAGTTTATGCAAAGATTATATTATTTCATGTTTTTTCATAAAGACAGAAAGCAAGCTAATCTGTTAAAAATATGTCACTTGTTTGCTATTCCAACTCATAATGCGAGTCTTGAACATGTGTTTTATTAATCAAAACTCTGGCAACAAATAAGCAGTTATTCCTTGTTTTCTATTTTATGATTAAACAAGAATGATAATTAAGTCAGCGAAGAGTGAAAACGTTAGAACCGTTAACGTGAGATAAAAAACGTGAGAACTGTAGATAAAATAAAACTTATGATTAGTGGGTAAATTGTTTGCAATTGCACTAATGACCTATATTAAATTATGCTTATGTATTGTTACCTATACTAAATTGAATTGCTATCTGTTTTATATTTTTTTATTTTTGACTTGTTATAGATACTTTCTCAAAAAAAACATTTTTCATTTAAACAGAGTGTTCCAAAATAATTTACCATTGGATTTGTACAAAAACCAACTTTTTGAAAGAACGGTTTTTGAAATTTAAGTTTATAAAAAATCTGGTTTTGACCGGTTTTTAAATTTTTGAAAAAGTTGAGTAGGAAGAAAATTAAAAAAAAAGGATTCTAATTAATTTTCAATGAAATCACAAACTCAATATTAAATTCAAAATATACTAAAAGAAAATAGGTTACGCATAACTTACACAGTTATGTTTATCTGAGTAATTCAAATATAAAAGTTCTAATTTAGAAACAATATTTATATTTACCTTATTTGAAATTTTTCTAAGATGAAAAGGAATTTAAAAAACTAAACGGTTGTTACAGCTAGGGCTAGATTTTCACCCGTGAATCAATTTTCAGAGCCTTAAAAAATATTTTGCAAAACTATTTGAATGAAACAATATTATATAAGAAATTCTATTTCACAAGTTGAATTTCAATATAAAGCTTTTTTTCTTGGAGACTGAATAAGTGCTAATTTCATAAGTGCAAACTGACATAAATGCAAAGCATAGCAAAAACTAGCATAAGTTCAAACTGGCATATGTGCAAATTGGCATAAGTGTACCAAAAGAATTTGCAAACATTGGCATAAATGCGAACTGGCATAAGTGTGAACCTGCATAAGTGCGAAGCAGTTGAAAAACTACACAAGTGCGAACTGGCATAAATGCAAATTGGTATAGGTGTGCCAAAAAGTTATATACGTTACTGTATCTCTGTTTTTATCAGTATTTTTTAGTTTTTATTAAATTTTTAACTATTAACTATCTTTGCTATTATCATTAACTTTTAGTCATAGAATTTACATTAAATTTTAGTCATAGAAAATACAAAAATTTACCTGCAGTATGTTTCTTTTGGAGCATAATTTAGACGTAATCATGACTTGTTTTGTATTTGTTGGTCCTATAATTGCAACTTTTGATTCCCTCTCCAAAAGGTTAAAAAGCTTTACCAATGCAAAACCTGTTATGCCCTTCAACATATATATATATATATATATATATATATATATATATATATATATATATATATATATATATATATATATATATATATATATATATATATATATATATATATATATATATATATATATACATATATACACTTACTAAAGCGTGTTTTGATAAGCATTTACTCACTTTTTCTGCTTACCTTAAGCTATACCGTTTTTTTCAAAAAAAAGAAGAAAAAAAGAAGAATAATGAATAAAACGATTGCTTCCCCATCCCAAACCCTCAGTCGATGTAGCAGCACTCCACTGCGAGTCAGGCTACTTGTCAGTCGATGTATGTACTGAAGCCCCCAGCAGCAGGCTATTTCAGTATGACGTCAGATTGCTTACCTTAGTATGCAATACTATTTGTATTTATATATATATATATATATATATATATATATATATATATATATATATGTATATATATATATATATATATATATATATATATTATATATGTGCATGTATATATGTATATATATATATATATATATATATATATATATATATATATATATATATATATATATATATATATATATATATATATATATATATATATGTATATATATATATATATATATATATATATATATATAAGATTTATAAATTGTTTATAAATTATTTAAGTTTAACATTTTACCGCAGTTTCCAAAGCTTCAACTTGAATGTTATAATTTGCCAAAATGTTTTGATTTTTATTAATTAGATTAGCTGCAACTCTTAAAGCAGATGCATAGTTATACTGATCATGGTTTGTATTAAACGGAAGTAGGGCTCCAAATTTAATTGTTTTTTTTGAGTTATTTGAGCTGGTATTACTCTTGCTTGAATAAACGTTAAACGTTTTTGTAACAAGTGTTTGTTCTAGACTTGAATTTGATGATGTCGAAGTGGTATCAATATTTTGATATTTCGTTATATTTTCGGCTTTATTAGTCAGTATAAACATTAAAAACAAGTTCTTGAAAAAGATGCACTAAGAAAAATACATAAAATCGGATATAGATGTAAATATGAATAAAAACAAATTTGAGCAACAAGTATTTATATCACAAAAAACACACTAAAAATTTAGTTAAGTAAAAATTTTCACAAAACAAGGCAAATAATTTTTGCAATGGTTTTTTTTTTGCAAAATTTCTCTCTAGCAATAAATTTAGACAATATAATTTTGAAACAAGATTTATCATTAGAGAAAAAATAGCTTAGAGATACTTATGATGAAATGTGTCTTTATTTAAGAAGGTTGAATCTATGTATTCTTTTTAAAGGTAGTCAGCTTTGTAAATGTAGCTGATGCATTTAGGATGAAGATGCAGTTGATTCAAAAACTTTTTATTTATTAACTTAACCGTAGTTTAGATCGTTAATCTAATTTTCAGTGATTTTAAAATATCAAAACAGAATATGCTATTCAGAATAGATAATAATGCTCTCTAGAATAGATTAATCTAAAATTAATTACCTATTAATTATTAACTTACCTATATTTGCAAAACTAAAACTATTTCTTACTAAATGATTTGTTTGAAAAATACTTTAAATGTTTTATCATTTTATATCACTGTTTTCTTGTCTAGAAAAATTAATTTTTTTATTAAAACATCTATTTTATGACTTATGAAAAATAAAATAATAATAACTTAAATTTCATATTGTTAATTTCAAGCTTTTGAAAAAAACTTAAAGAATTAAAGGTAAATATTTAACATTTAAAATCATCATTAAATGTCTTTTTCTTTTGCTACTAAAATTGATTAGTTTATGTTAAAATTATTATTTAAATATGAAATATTAATAAATATAAATTACTGCACTTAATTACTGTTTTGAAAAGTTTCACTTTTCTTTTTTAATTTTTACTCAGTGTATGATATGGATTGCCATAATGGAAAAAAAAGAATTAAAACACCAACTGTTGAAACATCTAAAGTAACCTAAAAAAAAATAGTTGAGTTATTTGAAGTATTTGAGCAGAATAGTTGAGTTATTTAAATATTTGAGCAAAATATTTGTTAAGTACATCTCACAAATTTGTAAAACTTGATGACTTTACATCTGACCCTATTGAAAAAGCATTTAGTAAGTTGTGTCAAGGTGTTGGTGGTGCTTATTTTATTTTGGTTCAACAAGTTTTAGAAAAAACTAAAGTTAAAAGAAAAGAGTTTTCGGTCTAGGTTTTTTTGCTACAAACATTTATATTTTATGATACTGCAAAACTTATCATTTAAATTTTTTTTGTCTTTTCATAATTCACAAACCTGATCATTTAAAGGAAACATGTCGTGGTCAACAAAATAATTGAGTTTAATGATTTGATTAATTATTACCAAAAAAAATAAAAAATACCAAAAGATTTATTAAAGTGTATAGTTGTCTACAAATGTGATAAAAAGATTTGTTTTCAATCTACTGAATTTTACTGTGGTTTACCAAAGTAAGATAAGTTTTCTTTAAATTGTTATGTATATATAAAAAAAAATTAATTGTTACAGATTTTTGTTATATTTGTAATAATATTTTTTTTATAGGTTCATACTAAATCTTTCTTCTAATTTAAAAATATGAGACGTATCATTGTGGATGCTTATGTTATGTAACAAGTTTGTCTAAAAATCATGTAACTATTTTAGACAAATGGTCGAATTTGTTTGAAGGTATAAGATATTTGACTAATATTGAGTTATCGATAAAAAAACAAGTTATTATAGAAAGTTTATCTTCTATGAAAATTTTAAGCATTGGTCATACACTATTTTCTTCAAACACTATTGTTCGAGCTTTTGAATATTTTTCTGTTTTAACAGCACTTTATAAGCCAATTCGAAATAATTATCACCTTCCCAGTTTTTCTATTCTACAAAAATTGACATCAAAAGCTTCAAAATTAAATAATGATGAATTTATTTTGTATGTTTTTTGTAAACTTACTAACCAACAATGACAGTGCATTTTAATATGCTAAAGCTTCATTAATTTATCATGGTGCAGAACTTTTTGGTAAATCTGTTAATCACTCAGATAAATTAGCAAAAACAATATTAACTGTTATGAAATGTCTTTTTGGCGGACCCACTTTTATATAATGCATGATTCCAGTATGTTGTCTTGATTCAGATTTTCAGTATGAAGTAGTTGATTCTTTACTTGGATCAATTTTAAAAATAACATTTTTTTACTTTAAGATTATGTTTATATATGGAAAAATATAAATAATTGGATTTCTGAAAAAACTCAAGAAATTCAGTTTAAGAACAATGATGATAATTTAATTGCAAGGTGGGATGATCTTAAGAACCTTTGCAACTTAGAAAGTAAAACGCTTGTGACTCTTTCACATTTTAATGCAGCTTCAATCTTTCCAAAACCTGATGAGAGACAAAATGTTTTTTTGTGTTTGTGAGTTTTTTGTGATGAAACACTTTCTTCTTTATCAATACATCCTGAAATAGACCAAACGAATGTTAAAGAAACTGTTATATTTCTAAAAAAGTTTAAAGATGCATGGAAAATTATTAATGTTCACAAACTGGGTGATGATAAAAGGTTAAGAGACCAAAAAAAATTAAAAAAAAAAAGATTTATTCAAAGCTAAACATTCCATTCTCTTACAGGGAGACTTATATAAAACTCTTTTGAACAAATTATGTTTCATTGAAATTTTGTAAATTTTCTCTTCAATAAATATAAAATAAGCATGCCTTTAGTTAACCTAAAGTTAAAACCTTCAGTTTTCAAGTTTTGCCGCTCATATTATAGGCCTGCGTTTTAGATAGCAGTGATTATAATGAAGAAATTTAAATTATTTTGCTACATTCATTGTCAGTAGAATAACTTTCATCATCACTACATTCTTCATCTTTACCAGAGACGTCAGTGGAGCTACTTTGGTTTTCTTTAGATTTTTAATCTCGTTTATCTGAACATGATAGTTCATTGTTGGATGAACTTATGTCACTTTGCGCAGTTATCAGAGCTTCATTTATATTCTTATGACTTGCGGCAATATTAGTTTTTTTTCCATTGGAAATTAGGCTTTTTCGAGAACAGGAGCTACTTTTATTTTGAGGCTTTTTTTGTGTGCCACAACGTAAAGACGACTAAAATGTACCATTTTTAAAATATGCAAAAAAACTGTGGCCAAGTTATCAACAAAAAAAAAAACTATATGCATGGTCATTCAAGGTGTGTTGTGACCTCACGCGTCTCTTGACAAGACCTGTAAAGTTGTAGGTATATTATATATAAAATTTTGTTATGTTACCATAATTTCAGAACCTTGAAGTAAAGTTTTTCTGAAAGGTAAATGAGTGTATTTACATAACTTAAATAGATTGATATCATACCTATCATAAAATTTATACAGTGTTGGTCTAAAACAAAATCTAAAAATTTTTTTAAGAAATATTTTACATAGCAGTTTTTTCAATAGAGACACTTTTTGAGAAAAAACAAGTGGAGACAAATATGTAGGTAAAAAAATTTTTGAACATCCCATATTTAAATAGAATAAATAAAACATATACTAATAGCACTTTTATTTTTTTCACATTTTGAAAATTTTGCAGTTTTGGCAAAATTATGAGTAAATATTTAAGGAAACCAACAAAGTACCCTGTTGCTTTGAAAATATATTGACACTAGTATGTATGCCGAAATACATGTTTTACGGAACTGAGTTGTGTGCTAAAAACCTGTTCCACATTTTTAAGAGTTCGCGTTTAGCCAGTATGGTAGAATGGTGTTTTGTTGTCTTATTCTTAGAACTTTATAGTAACTTAGAGTTAATTTAAAAGCAGAATAGTTAAACCTTTTTATAGAGTTTTTTAATATATTAATGAACGTTATGTTTATATTTTATGTGTTTTCTGGTCTAGTAAATGTTGAAGATATGATTTTTCTTTTTTTTATCTTATTCTTTACTTTAAGCTAATACATTTTTTATGTACCTGTCAAACTGATGTCTGTTATTTGTGTTTGTAAAACATAATGAATTTTGTAACTTTATTTTTCTTATTATTAAGAACATTGTGCACTAAAAAACAGTAGCAATTCTTGTTTTCAGTTATTTATTTTTGTATTTAAAAATGTACTTTTATTATCTAATCAGTATCATTTGAATATAAAACTTATCTTCCTCAACATTGTTTTATGCAGTCAAACTTTCTATGCATAATTTTTTTTTAATTTATTTTATTGTATTGTTTTAGTAAAAAATTGGAATAGTTATTTATTTTTTTTTAAGTTTAGTTAAGAAAATTTTTGTTAATATTGAAAACTTTGTTATTGATCAATCACTTGATTGTTATGAAATATCTATCTAGGTATAAAACACCTATCTATTACACAAACAAATAATATATTTTTGCTTTTTAGTCACACTTGATTAATATAACTCCTATTAACTTATCTACATTTAGGTATTTGGCACCAACAAAAATGTCACTTGTAATTCATAGAGCTTTCAAAATACATCTAATAGATAGACACATACTTTTTATATTTGTTAAAAATGGAGAGGTATATACCAAAACTGTTGATGTTGTCAATAAGTATTTTGGTTTCAATGTAACAATAAACGACATCAAGAACCTAGTGAATATAGCTAAAAAATGGATTGACAACTATAAAAGAAATTGTAATTGATATATTGCCTTTTGCAATGATCTCTTTGCTTGCAATAGACCAGTGTTGACACTGGCACAGGATCTACAACCTTCTCTAGTAGTAACCTTTTCACTCTTTTGTGTTCTTCAGTTGTGACATTATCAGAATGCATCAATGTATTATCTCCAATAAGTAGTGAAACTTTATTTTCTATAAGTAATATTTCAGATTTACAAAGTAAATTTATTTTAAGAGAAAAACTTACCCCCTGGAGAAAAAAATTAAAAAAAAAAGGTTGTCAGATTTGTCTTTAATTTTTGCTAATTCTTCTAAAAAATACCATAATAAGATAAATTAAAGAGCATACCA